TTGTAAAATCGCTGAAGCGATTCAAATTCTTCAGAAAAGGTAAATCAGAGGATGTCGTAGTTGATTTGTCTCACGGTGGCCCGCGCAATAACGGGAGAAATACATCAAGTATTCCATGGTGGTGCATCTACATTGGGTGGCTTTTGGTGTTTTTGACCACGTTTACATCTGCATTTTTCGTCATTATGTACAGTATGATGTGGGGAGCTGAGAAACAGAAAGATTGGCTCTTGTCATGCATTACATCATTTGCTGAGTCTATTCTGTTGATGGAACCAATGAAAGTAAGTCTTGTTATTTATTTTTTATCTAGCGATGTTTGTTTATTCTGTGTACATATGTGTATTTGTTTCCAATTATCATTTGCAATATCTAACACTCCATCGTCGACGCTTTTACCACGTGAATGGTGATATGAAAGTCATTCACTGTGTTAATTAATATTGTTTTGATCTTTTAATGAATATAGTATATGAGAAATGACTACATACAATTTGAACTACTTAGTGTCTTGCCGATATATAGGGAGCAGCTTCGAGAAAAGGTGTATTCCAAGTGCTCAATAATACTACACTGATAATGTCGTGAAATAAATAATCTGTGTCTATATAAGTTGTATACCATCACAGTTCATATATACAATGTTTCAGACTGCTTCGTCTATTTAATCTCCGTATACATGTGCTTTCACAGGTAGTTGTGCTGGCTGCAGTTGTATCTTTCTTCGTACGTAAGCCTGATTTTGAGAAATACAAGCTGCATGAGTCAGAAAAGATCGACCAGACGGAAATATCTAGTATGTATATTAAGTATTACTCCTGTAGTGTTAATGAATATGATGACAAAAATGTTTTGTTTTCTGTATCGCTGTATTCACTGTACCGTGATGATTTATATTTTGAAATGAACCATATTTATCATTCGTTATCTATGTAAACTACTGTGGTTTATGTGTTGTAGTATTTGTACATAACTTGTTAAAGTAGATTTTTCTAAACGCGATTTTTTCCGTGGCAACAAAATTACCTGGATAGGGTAGGGGGATATCGTTTATTTCGATGAGTTCCCTTGGGAAGTCGTTCGGCATTAATGTTATTTATTTATTTATTTATTTATTTATTTATTTATTTATTTATTTATTTATTTATTTATTTATTTATTTATTTATTTATTTATTTATTTATTTATTTATTTATTTATTTATTTATTTATTTATTTATTTATTTATTTATTTATTTATTTATTTATTTATTTATTTATTTATTTATTTATTTATTTATTTATTTATTTATTTATTTATTTATTTATTTATTTA